ATGTTCGTGGTGGTTTTTCAATAAATTTTTCATCCGTTAATGGTATTAATGTCAGGGCACATTTATCCGCACGTTCACATTGTTTACCCGTTGTCGATTGTGTTAAAATAGCATGACCATTAACACTTGATATGATCAATATGGTAATTATAAATGAAAATTTTAAAATCATCATCATTATCATTATCGTTACACCTGTTTCGGAAAAAAAATTTCCAAGAAAAAAGAAAATTCTTCCTATTTATACCAATCAACAACAACAACAACAACAAAAATGGAAAAGGGGTTAAAAAACTGATGTTCTAATAACCCCCCCCTCTCTATCTCTCTCTCTCTCTCTCTCTCTCTCAAATTCCGAAAATAGAAACTTTTACTGATATCTTAGAAGTCAAAAAGAAAAATAAACAAACTTGTTTATTTCAATGTTTTTTCCCAAGAAAAACAAATTTTTTTTGTTACTTTTTTGTTAATCAACAACCAAAAATCGTCTAGAAAAATCTTTAAATTTTTTAACCCTCTCTCTCTCCATTTTCAATTTGAGGACCCTCTTTTTTCGGATTTTTTTTTTGATAAAATGAAAAACAACAACGCAAACAAACGAAATTGAGAAAAAAAAATCATTATTGTAAATTATTTAATAAATCAACCAAAACCATAATAAAACTTTTCCATTTTAATTTTTTGTTGTTGTCCATCACCGTTGTTGATATCGATTGTATCGATGGTAATGTTTGACATTTATCCGAATCTTCTGTATAATCACCACAAATTAGATTAAATAAATCACCACTATAACTATCGATCCAAATATTTAATTCATTTTGTGCTTGCCGATTATTTGGACAATTCCTCATCATTTCACCGATCATTGATTCTTTCATTCGATAACTATTGCTATGATTTTCATGGGGGAAAAAATCAAAAGTCAAAAGTCAAGAGTCAAAAATCAAAAAACATACCAACAAATCATTGGAAATTTCAATTTCTGTCGTTTTTCCATCGAAATCCGATACAATGTTTCGGTTAGATTTTTTAATAAAATATTTTGATAAAATTCTGGATTCTTTTTCATCATTGTTAATGTTGTTTGTTTACGTTTTTGTTTCGAACATATTTTACGATTCAATCTGGATACTGAATATAACATTACTGATAATGTTTGACGGGCTTCTGATTTCATACAATTTTCAGCATAATTTCGTAAACATTTTTCATTCAATAATATTTGCCGGCATAATTCATCAATATCATTGATTGTAATTATTGATGATGATGATCGTTGTTTCACTATAAAATCACTTGTTAATGGTATCATATTTAATGCACAATAATCATATTTTGTTTGATTATTACAATTTACTATTGTTGTTACACTTGTTGAATTTTTTCTTTTTGTTTATTGATTAAATGAATCACAAATGGCTAACCACATAAAAGCAATAAAAATCGAGAAAGTTTTCGGAAACATTTTTCACTTTTTACTTTTCGAAATGGATTGAAAACAAAGTTTTTGAAAATGTTTTTTTGAAATTAACCTTTTTTTTCGCTTCTTTAAATAGTGAAGTACCCAAAGAAAAAAATCCTTATCATTTTTGAAAAGGGTTAATAAATCACGTTATTTTTTTTTTCTTGGAAGAAAAAAATTCATTTAAAATTCATTTGATAATTTCATTTGCATTTTTGATTTTTCCTTCTTTTTGTTTCTGTAAATCCAACGAAACCTGACAGAAACACCCGATACATCATCATCATCATTGACCATTGACCATGCAGGGTAACATTTGGTCAAAAAAAAAACTACACTAATGGCCAACGGTGATGGTCAGGAGATTTGAACTTTTTTTTTTGGTCAGAAAAAATTATCATTATCGCCTCTCTCTCTCTCTCTCTCTCTCCCTCTTACATCGCTTAGCATCGTCCATTTCAACGCAAACAAAAAAATCAAGATAACCTGCGCACATGGTTGATGATGTAAACACACGTCTTTTGGTTTTTTTTCCTAATCTCCTTCAACATCATCAATCAATTAATCATTTCGCAATGTTTTTTTGTTTTTGTTTTCAAAAAAATCCTGATAAAATCTTGAATTTTTTTTTTAATTTTCAAAACATCAATCCATCAAACGTACGTACTTTTTGAATAAATCATCCGGTTAGGATTCGAATCGAAGCAAAAAGATTCGATTTGTTTTTGGCTGATTTTGCTAACTAACTTCGAAAATTTCTTCTTTTTTTGTCTATTTTTAAATTTGACCTTTTTTTTCTGTTTTTCTCGCTGTGATGAAACATGCTGCCAAAACACAGCTGCTTTCGTCATAATCATCATCATCATCATCGATCAACGGTTTACTGTGTGTACCAGATGTTGCAACAGCTACTGTGTGTTTGTTTTGCATTTGAATATGAAATTCTTTTCGAATGAATTGTACCACCAAAGCTTTAAATCGAAATGAAATATTCTTGGCAATCATTTTCGGTGAATAATATGATGCGCGCCAACACCCAGAAAAAAACGAGCAAACAGCACTCACATCAATAAGAGAAATTCTCGCATCCATCCTGCTGAAAAAACCAAGTGTTAATTGAATTTTTCTGTTTTTATTATCAGCAACAAGTGGTACCTAGACTTTCTCTCGTCAACTTTGAACCTTGTTATATGATTTAAAACAACCTTTGACCTGATCGAAACTGACATGTTG